TCCACTCTGCCAGCCCTCGTGAGGTACCGGAGGTTGTAAGCTCCGCGGTTCAAGCTTAATTTGAATTGGTTGTTCAAGGCAGCAATCTCCGGCGTTAACCTATGCCGCCATCTTCGGTTCTCCTTCATTGATTTTTTTTTTCTCTTTGACTTTTAAGTCTACAAGTGATCTTTTGGTCAGTCTCCATTTCTTAAGTCCTCATTTTCTGTTAAAGGACATTTTTGCTCCATCAGTGCAGTAAGAGATTTTCTCACACAGTCTGTCCAGGTGAAGCATATTCTTTTAACATCACTCCAGAAATACAGCGCTAAAGATACAAAGTTAGACACAAGTCAGCAAAACTCAGGGGTGGTTCTTATGATGACCACCTGAAGCACAGAAGTGATGTTTTATTACTACATCTTGTGTGCTTTTACAATTTTTATGAAATTAAAATGTTGCTGAGCAGTAGTTATTAATATCAACTCATTGTGTTCTTTATAAAAAATATTCAAACTAACATTTTCCCTCACTGCTCTTGTGTTCATTAATGTAAAAGATTGCTCTGAATTTTGTTCAAAGTGCACTTAATCTATAATAATAATAGAGTATATGCAAATTGTCCGGGACGCCATCACAGTAATAATAACAGTAATGACCAAAAAGCAGGCTGCATGGGGCCACCAGGCCGGCAGGAGGGTTAGTGAGGAACGACCAAATGACTGAACAGCAGGCTGTGTGGGGCAGCCAGGCCAGCATGGGGGGCAGTTGGGGGCGACCAGGCCAGCAGGGGGGGGCAGTTAGGGGCGATCAGGCAGGTGGGCAGTTAGGAGCCAGTGGTCCCGGATTGTGAGAGGAATATCCGAATGCTGGTTTAGGCCCCATCCGGGATTGGGCCTAAACTGGCAGTCAGACAAACCCCCAAAGGGTCCTGGATTGGAGAGGGTGCAGGCTGGGCTGAGGGGACCCCCTCCTCCCCATGCACAAATTTTGTGCATCAGGCCTCTAGTATATAGATAACATCCTTATATTTAATCTTATCAAGACAAATACACCAATACTGAGACACATACTCTCAAAATCAGAACCTCATATATCATAGATTATGCCTTGGAAATAAATATATGTGCTTTTACTTCATTGTATAGTTATTTACCTAGCTGTGCATGATTGTATCTGAAAAGCTGCCCTCTGTAGATGTACTATATGTCCAGGGCAAGGTGATGGAATAAATTGTGTTCCTATGGGGCAATTAGAAGCTCTGGGTTCAAGCTGTGCTGGTTTCTAGCCTAGGCAGTCCTTTTATCATCCTCAGTTTCCATTACGTCATTGATGGCATGGGCATAATAAGAATTCCAAAGAACCTTTTAAATATATATATATATTTTTAGTGATTTTAGAGAGAGATAGAAACATCTGTGAGAGAGAAACATCGATCAGTTACTTCCTGCGTGCCCCCTACCAGGGATCAAGCCTGAAACCCGGGCATGTGCCCTGAACCCGTGACCTCTTGGTACATGTGCGCAACCACTGAGCCACACCAGCTGGGCTCCAAGGAACCTTTTACTTTTTTTTCTCTATTTAATTATTTTTCCCAAAGAGCCTTTTAAATATTAAATGAAATAATGTATGTAAGTGTACTCTGGAAAAAATGTCAAATGCTATATAATTTGGCAACCATTTTCTTCTCAAACTTGAAATAATAGGCCTTTTTCACCAAAAACTTCTTTCATTGGCCAAAAAGAAAAGTGGAAGTGAGAAGAGGGCCATCTAAATTATCTTGATGAACAGCAGTCTTCCTAGTTTTTTTCTTATTCTTTTTTTGGGGCGGGGGGGTGGAGGGGGGGGACTGTGTGTTTGTATTCAAAGTAACCAATTGTAAAAGGAGATAATGGAGACAATGGGGACATTTCAGCATCTACTAGGTGTATGATGGCGTTGAGGAAGCACAGGTAATTTTGTTAAGTGGAACAATGCAAGGTAGCTGCAGTGGACTCTAGATGGCCACCAATCCTTCCAACGAGAGGTGGAGTTTATTGCCCCTCTCCCTCTTTCAGATGTGCTTATTTAGACAGGAATTGCATATGTCAAAAATATGATGTTTTGGTATATGTACTTTCTGCTTTTCTTGGGTTCAAACCTTGGTCTGTGAATATTTGCATATTTCAAGAACAGCGATGTGAGGACCCCACTGAAGTGTGTGTAGGGTATGACCATGCTGAGATCAGTGATGGATGTGTAAGTTGTCTGGGTTAGGGTAAGGCCAGGAAGAACCCTTCAAGGAATATTACCTCCTTTACCTATTTTTCTTCAGTTATGCCTCCTGATTAACAAAACTTGCTATGTCTATAATCTCACTAACCGTGATGTGTCTTGTTCTCTCAGTCCTACAAAAAATAATTTGTATCTGGTAAGTCAGCAGGTTTTCAGGCATCTGCTTTTCCTTATTCCCTTTCACCTTCCACAGGTGCTTATTACATTTTAAGGCTTTGGAGTTTGCTTTTTATTATCAGCAGAAGTCTTTTCCAGTCTCTATTTTTATTTTCTTCATAATTGCCAGATCTCATTATGTTTACCTATGAACTTTTCTTAAAGTTTTAAAAATTGCAAAAGACATGTTTATTTTCAAAAAATTAGAAAGACAAAAAAGAAACATGAAAAACTATTCTGAATCCCAGTGTTAATACTTTGGTGGGTTAACCTTTTGGGTTATTTTTCCAAATGTGCATGACCTACACATTGAAAACTAAAGGATTTTGAATGAAATAAAGGGAGTAGATCTTCTTTTCTTAAATTGTATTTAGAACTTTATTGATTTTAGAGGAAGGGGGAGAAAGAAACACCTATTGGTTGCCTCCCACACGCACATGCCCCAACCAGTAACCTGGGTATGTGCCCTGACTGGGAATCGAACTTGCCACCTTTTAGTGTATGGGGTGATGCCCTAACTGAGCCACACCAGCCAGGGCTGGGAGTAAGTCTTTGCAGGTCTTTTTTGTCGTCTTTAAGTCTGTGCCTTGTTCTTTTTTTTTTTTCTCTTTTTTAAAATATATTTTTA